CTGTACTTGGAGATGGGTCTTTGAGAGGTCATTAAGGTAAAATGAGGTCATATAGTGGGCCTTAATTCAATAAGACTATTGTATTTATAAAAAGGGGAAATTAGGACATGGACAGGCACAGAAGGAAAACCAAGTGAAAGACATGGGGAGATGACATCTGTCTGCAAGCCCAGGAGAGAGGACTCAGAAACCAACCTGCCAATACTTTGATCTCAGAGTTCTGGCCTCCAGAGTGAGAGTAAATTTCCACTTTGTGAGCTGGTAAGTCCTAGGACTTTATTAATGGCAGTCCTAGCAAACTATTACAACCACCAAGGTAGTCTCAGAGAAGCTTTTGGGAGCTTGCAACTTGTGGGTCTGGGGTCATTCCATTTAGATTGAGCCACTGTTTTTCTTAAAGGAAAAAGAATGAAATGTAATTTGGTATTTATTCCCTGAACCAGTTTTGTTCATGGTGAGCCACACTCAGAAAGTGCTATTATATCCAGAAGTCTGAGAAATGCGTACAAACTGGGTTTTAACTGAAGTATTTAAATGTGTGAAAAATCATCTTAAGTAGCTGGGGGAAAGAGAATTTGAATAAGCCAGTCCCCCAAAAACCAAAGGCCAAATGTTCTCTCTAATATGCAGATGCTAATTCAAAATAAGAGGGAGTAGTAGCCAAGGAAAAATAGAGGTTCTTTGGGTTAGTTGAGGGGAGGGGGTATGGGGGGTAGGAAGAATAGTAGAATGAATGAAACATTATCATCCCGTGTATATATATAATTATGTGATTGCTGTGATTCTACATTGTGTACAACTAGAAGAATGATAAGTTATACTCCATTTATGTGTGGTGTGTCAAAATGCATTCTATTGTCATATATAACTAATTAGAACAAGAAACAAAATAAACATTAGTAGAAATCTCATTTTCATGTCAATTTGTAATGAAGATGCTTGCTGTAGTAATATTAATAGAATTTAGAAATATTAAAAGAAAATAAAGTTTCGAACTCTTAGCCTTCAACATTTGGATTAAAATCAACAGTATAGGGCTGGGGATGTGGCTCAAGGGGTAGCACGCTCACCTGGCATGCGTGCAGCCCGGGTTCGATCCTCAGCACCACATACAAACAAAGATGTTGTGTCCGCCGATAACTAAAAAATAAATATTAAAAAATTCTCTCTCTGTCTCTCTCTCTCTCTTTCTAAAAAAAAAAAAATCAACAGTATAGAATGTGATTAAATCCTTGAAGTGAGTAACCGGGAGATCTCAGTTTGAGTCTAAATTCAAGTACTCATGAATGCTGTGGTTTTGTGAAGGGGTTTTGTCTCTTTGAGCTTCTGATCACTAATTTTAAACAGGAGATGCTTCATGTGGTTTGAATGAAATTAATTAATGATAGGTTACTGTATAAATGCACAATTATTATTGGCTATTGTTATTAATGGTAATGTTAAAACATTAAATTGTTTGAACAGTCAGTTGCTGCTAAGGGAGAAATACATGTGTTTCTGTAGATAAACTCTGGAAGGACGCACACTCACAGGGGTTTACATCATGAGTACCAATCATCATGGCTGTGATGTACCTTTTTACTTAATGCAGTGGCTAATGTGGAGACCTCAGGTGGTTCCTTAGTCTCAAATAAGAGTGACAAATTATCTGGCAATGAAAGATTCTTGTTGCTTAAAATATTGTTAAAGGGGCAGGAATAGTTTTTTGGGGGTGATGGTGAGCTATGGTAAATTCCAGTGTTCTTTACTGATTCTTTGGAACAGTGGATGGACTTTTTTCCTAGGTACCTGTATAGGTACATTAGAAGAAACAGGGTAAGTTAGCGACTTATTTTAGATCTCATATACTTCTTAGCTGTGCTTCTGCCTATTAATTCAACTCTAGACACCAGTGCTTCCTAGGCTACCATTGCTTTACTTCTTCACTTTACACTTAGTGGTAAACCAGTAAATCATTGAGGCTGAACAAAATAAAGTAAATGAGGCTAATGACTGAGAAATAGATTTCTTTCACAAGTATAAAGTGGACAGTGCTGTTACCGAGGACCTGTTAAAACAGGAATGTCTTTCCCCCTGAAGCTGTGGGCATTCATATTGTGGGCCTGGAAGCTCCTGAAATGAATGCCTCTTGGACTTCCTCAGAGCCAAGCATGGGCTCCTGCACTTCTCTGGAGGAGGGTGAGGCCACTCTGCCCCCATGGACTTGCTTCCTGACACCTGCCCTAGTTGAGCTCCCAGAAAGGATATTAAGACAGATTGTGGGGGAGGAATAGAGAAGAAAGCAGAGTTCCCAAGCAACAAAGCCTTAAGAAGAAGCCCAGGGCATGGTCATGTAATCCTAAGAGAATTTATTTTAGTGGGGAAAATGTTCTCTCCACAGCTCCAGGGTGGTTGATCCTACCTTGCTTGCTAAGTTGCTTTCTCTGTTAGTACATTGTTGGATGTACTAACAGAGTCTAAAATGACCAAAAAAAAAAAAATTCTTGCTTTTTTTTTTCTTCCAGAGTTGAACTCCTTTGGTAGAAGAATTCATGGAGATAGGTGCTCTTTCCAAACCAGGGTGACAAGACACATTCTTTCTGGGAATACTGACCAGGAGCTTATTCAAGTTTGAAAGAAAATAATGTGAAACATTAATTTCCCTCAAGAAAGTTCTGGCTTTTCTCAAAAAGAAGACAAACCTGGAAAGCAGCAGTGCCAAAGGGGAGCTGGGATGATAGTAGATAGTGACTGAGGAGCCGCACGGCAATGAGACAAGGCAACACAAAAGGCCAGACCTATTTTGGGACACGTACCCAGAGTCATGGCGTAACAGACACCAAAGGTGACAGCTGGCTTCTCAGCTTCTCAGTGAGAAAGCATCTGGAGGATCACTTGAATTTTATAAAGCTAATTTTAGGGGCATAGAACCTTAGGGAATTTGGAGAAGGACAAGGACAAGGAAAAAAAAGTAGTTGGAGGTGAGAAGGACTCAAGGAATTGGATCAGGGGAAAGATGAAAGGTCCTAAAGAGGTGGGGAGATGGTGATAGTCTCCTAATTCCTGACACCCTAGAAGGCAAGAATCATTGCAATTGGAAGATCAGAACTGGGAGTTGAAAGGCTGGACAGTGCAGAAAAATGCTCTGGCTATTTTACTGGTTCACATAATACGGCTGCCACTTCCCAAAGACATCCAGGGTGTGTGAGTGTGGACCTCAGTACATGAGATATTGGAAAGAAAATTTTCAGTACTATGGTACTTTAAGCTTCTCTGGATCAGAGACCATTGAAGCGCAAGGTGACCTAATCCAAAGAGGCCCCAAAATAGGGCCTGTGTGAATATTTTATATAATTTTATTGCTTGAATTACATCTGTGGTCACCTAACCTCTAAACTTGGCAACAAGTATCTATATGCATCTTGAATTCTGGCTTCTAGAACCCAGGAACTTAGCAAAATCAACCTCAAAATGCTCCTGTAAAATGCAGAGTTATTTGAAAAGATTTTGATTTGAATCTTGTAGTTCGTGCTATGATGAGAAAAGAAATCCTACCAGGGGTGAGAAGTGAAATTTGGCCTTCAACATAGAGAATGCATGGTCGTTTCTTGGTGGGATTTTGGAGGCCCAGAGAGTATAGTAGAAGGCAAGGACCATTCTCTAGTAAAAGACTCATTGATAACTTTGATAGGTGACTCCAAGAGTATGCTGTGACACATGTGCCTTCTGATATAGATTCCTGGGGATCTGGTTAAATGATGGGAAACCCACGGGACAGAATACATGTCCACATAATCATGGATTTTGATTCAGTCTGAAAGAAGCCTTCCTTTCATTAATTCCAGATTTTTAAAAAAGTTTGCTGCTGGGCTTGGAGGACAGTTGGGAAATATCTTTGGATGTGAATCCATGGAAGCCTTCCCAAACACCAGGGGCTTATGAGGGGCAGACTTTTTTTTTCTTCTATTTTTATGTATAAATAACTCCTACCTCCCAGGTGCTGGAAAGTTAATCCAGGCTGACAGATCTCCTTGCTTGGCTGCCTTGACTCTCAATGGCCGGTGTCACTGCTATTAATAGCAAACATTATATTCTTAAAGAGCTTTCCCATTGACTCTGCCAGTTCCTGGGCAAATGTTGGTAGGAAAGATCTAGTTGGGGTTAGGCTGGAGGAAGACAGAAATGATTAAGAAGTGAGGACAGAGAGGTCCCAAGGGAAGAGAAACCAGGACTTTCTTGAGGGAAATTAACCTTAAGCTGACTTTGAGACTTTCTTCCAGTGATTGATTTTAAGGTCTACATAATACAAGAATTAAGAATTTAGTAGGACCCAGGGGTAGATGGAGAGTGATTCTGAATTATAGATTCTCCTGGAATCTATAATTTCATGAATTCTATAATTCCATGGAGTGGCCTCCATGAGAAGAGGGCTCAAGAGATGATCTAGTTGAGTAAACCTCTCTTCTGGCTCCTTTCACTTAAGCAATTATAAAAATAGTCCTTTTGAAAACAGAGTAATATGTATTTTTTTGGCTAGGCTCTTTCTTTGGTTTTCAAAGTACATTGCGTAGTTTGGGAAAAATACCAGTCAATTGTGACACTTTCATGCCTTGCTTATTATCCCACTGTGGCAAGTGTCAGGCAAAGACTGCTGTGCTCCCAAACACTTCAGAAATGAAACCTTTCTTATTGGAATTCTGAAGAAATAAAAACTTTGCTTCACTCCTAGCTAAATACAAAACCCCTGTTGCTTGACCCTTGATGTTGAAACTCTTTCTAAAATGTATACCTTTGCTTTCAAGCTCATTCACAGTACACAGGCATCATCTAATCTTTTTTTTTTAATAATTTTTTTTAGCTGTAGATGGACATAATGCCTTTATTTTATTTATTTATTCTTATGTGGTGCTGAGGATCAAACCCAATGCCTCACATGTGCTAGGAAAGTCCTCTACCATTGAACCACAACCCCAGCCCACACCATCTAATCTTGCTCTGGTGATTCAGCATCTTGCAGCTCCTCCATTCTTCCAATGCTTTATTAAGTGTTGAGGGTACAGATGATTGGAATGGGTCTAAGCTGAGAAGGCTCCTTTGCCTAATTGTGTTTCAATATGGGACAGAAAATCCTGGTTCAGTTCTAAGTATCTACTGCCTCCAACCCCAAATGCTGCCACTCTTCTGCAGTTCCAGAATGAATCCTTTGCTTCCATCTTCCTTCCTTCTTGGAAAGTTTTGAAGCCCTGGTAATTAAGACAGGTAGAAGAGCTGTGTCTATAGACAAGACAAAATCCTCAATGTACTGTTCCTCTAGGACATGGGAGAGTGCCGCCTCACTTCCAGGCCCAAGGTCACATGCTCTTGAGTTACTGCCCTGACACACAAGAAAGATGGATGGGCCCCCAAAATTCCTGGTTCCTTCCCAGCACAAGCAGCTGCTGAAGTACAAATGTATTCATGTTTGTGGGGTGCAGGAGTCACGCTGCAGTCTGTCTCAGTGCTCTCTTTGAGTTCAAGGAAAAGTACCAAGCTGGAAGACATAAATAGCCCATACAAAGGCAATTAAAAAAAAAAAAAAACAAACTCCTCGCTCACTCTTTCCATCTTAGTTACCAGAGCGATGGCAATGGGGATCACAAGGGAAGGACAGGAAAACGGCAATGGGGATCACAAGGGAAGGACAGGAAAACGGCAGTGGGTCAGGATTCCTATTTCCCTTGGATTCTTTTGCTTGTTGTGACAACCAGGAGGGAACCCACTGCACTGAAACTTTTGCACAAGCTCTCTCAGCTACAGGATTTACACATTTATGAAGTAAATGGCCAAATCAATTAGAGCTGGGTCAAGGACAAGAGTATTTAGCGAAGGGAGCCCTGTGGTTCCTTGCTTGTCATGAATGATGTATAGAATGAGGTAATGCAACCAAAATTAAGTGAGAGCTGCAGAGTCTCTTTCCATGCAGCTGGTACTGAGGCTTTTTGATGACTGTATGATTTTAAAGAATCATGTCCTGGAGCACTGGAAGGTCTGAGTTCCAGAATCAAATTACTTTGCAACCTTATGTGATCTATCTGGTCTTCAAGAGAGTAGGGCCATCTCTTAGAGGGGAATGCTACAGATGCTTTGACATGGGATAGTCTGAAAAAACTCAAGAGGTCTTCTATTCCAGGGGGAAGTACTGGGAGTGATATTGGTCAAATTACACTATTATATTGTGTGCATGTACTAATACATAACAATAAATCCCACCATTATGAACAACTATAATGCACCAATAAAAAATGTGAAAGAAAGGAGTTCCTCCCTTCCCATTTCTGATCTTAACCTTCTATCCTAGTGAATCAGTGATTGTTGTTGAGACTTGGGGACGGAGAAGGTATAGTTGGAAAGGATAAGAAATGAAGAACTGAAATGGGGTAGTATGTCTAGAATTGGCTAAAGCAGAGTCTACAAGAAGAGCAGCCCCCCGGCCCACTTAGAAATGTACTTTAACCTGCCTTACACTTTTCTTTACTTGAGGGACTGCCCTTCTGTGGATTAGACCCTGTTCTAACTGTTTTATTTTTAACACCTTCATTTTTGAATGTTAATTTTGTTGAGCATAGATTATTTAATTAACACATAGAAATTAGGAATAAGAGGCAAGAAGGAATAATGAACAAATAAATTAGTAAACATGGGATAAATCTGAATTAGAATTGACTCTATAACACTGTTAATAATGGCACGATTTAGAGGTAAAAAGAAAGGAAAAATTAAAAGTCGTACAAAAGTAATATGCAAAACAAGAAGGCACTGATTCAATTTAAAGTGTTCTAAGTTCCTGTATTGTTCTGGAGAAAGATTGACATATTGACTCTTTTAGTCAGATTTTGTGTTACTGTGACCAAAATACCTGACAAGAACAACTTAGAGGAGGAAAAGTTTTTCAGGGGTTTATAGTTTCAGAGATCTCAGTCCCTAGATAGCAGACTCCATTACTCTGGGCCCCAGGTGAGACAGAACATCACTGGGGGAGGGCCCCAGGGAGAAAAGCAGCTCAGTCCATGGCAGGAGTGGAGCTTCACCACTGAATCCTGGTCACTTTATGAGAAGAGGGACCTTCTAGGCTCTAGATGCTCACACACATTACCTGCTGATCACTGGAAGATGCCCTGACCATACTGTGATTCTGACCAGCATATGGGGTCCCTCCATCTTGAACCAGAATCATGAGTCAATATGACCCTTTTTACTTTAAAACTTATGCAATTTTTAGTATTACTATCAACAGGAAAAGATAAGTCAACGTTAGGATAGGCAAAGATAAGAACAGGCAATTCACAATTGAAACATGAATGGCTCCAGTTATGAAGAAAAAGTTATTTAAAGATATATATATATATATATATACACACACACACACACACACACATTTGCACTTTGCTGGTGGGAACTTCAATGGGAATAAACACCTTGGAAAGCAATTTAGTAGCCTCAAGCTGCCGCAGTCAGGCTGCAGCAAAATAACCGGGGGGGGGGGGGGGGGGACGAATAACTTGTGTATGTTGATACAGCAGGAGTGGGAGCCGTTTATTGCAGGACAGGAGCAGTATTTATACATTCCACACAGCTTATCTAATTAGCATAAACTAGATACATCAGTCAACCAATAAGGAATCTCCACACTTAATGGCTCACTTTCCTTACTTCTCAAACCACTCCCTCTGGCATTTTGCCAGGCACCATCCAGACTGGTTTACGAACTCTAACATTCCCCTGGCAAAATGCCAGGTGTTATTTTGACTTGTTTACAGACTCTAACATCAAGCAAAATTTAAAACAAGCTTAATTTTCTCTCCAGAAGTTCTTTACTAGTCTAGAAAAATGTTTTCATATGTGGATAAGAGCATTCCATGGAGCATCACTTGTAATTGAGAGAGACTGGAAACAGCATTAATATCTTTAATATCTTCATACAAAGGCATCTTATACTGAAACAATGGGATCTAGACTTTATGACTTAATGTGAATTCACCTTAAGAGTCTAAATCTTGAACCCAAATCTTTTTTTTTTTTTTAAATTTTTATTGTTGGTTGTTCAAAACATTACATAGTTCTTGATATATCATATTTCACACTTTGATTCAAGTGGGTTATGAACTCCCATTTTTACCCCATATACAGATTGCAGAATCACATCAGTTACACATCCATTGATTTACATATTGCCATACTAGTGTCTGTTGTATTCTGCTGCCTTTCCTATCCTCTACTATCCCCCCTCCCCTCCCCTCCCCTCCCCTCTTCTCTCTCTACCCCCTCTAGTGTCATTCATTTCTCCCCCTTGTATTATTTTTCCCTTTCCCCTCACTTCCTCTTGTATGTAATTTTGTATAACCCTGAGGGTCTCCTTCCATTTCCATGCAATTTCCCTTCTCTCTCCCTTTCCCTCCCACCTCTCGTCCCTGTTTAATGTTAATCTTCTTCTCATGCTCTTCGTCCCTACTCTGTTCTTAGTTACTCTCCTTATATCAAAGAAGACATTTGGCATTTGTTTTTTAGGGATTGGCTAGCTTCACTTAGCATAATCTGCTCTAATGCCATCCATTTCCCTGCAAATTCTATGATTTTGTCATTTTTTAATGCAGAGTAATACTCTGTTGTGTATAAATGCCACACTTGAAGACTAATTTTATGTTTTACTTCTGATATACATACACTTATGGGAAATATGAAAACATAAATGGAAGTGAAAAAAATAACAAATTAAAGATAATACTTCTTTCTTAAAGGAAAACATAGGAAGCAGAAAAATGGGAATGAGGGTTAAAACACAGGGGGCTTTTATCATAGCTGTAATATTTTTCTCCTAAAAATCCCTGGAAGCTCTGAAGATATAGGCAATTTAAGCTTTAACAAAGCTGAATGGTGGATGCAAGAATGTTCTTACTTCCTACAGTTTTTTTTTTTTTTTGGTATGCTTGGACTACTTCAGAATTTAATAAAAGAAAAAATGTAAGGGATTTGTATAAATGGACTGTCTCAAGAATAATCTATCATTGTGTTTGATGAAAATTAAAGTTGCAAATCCTTGTTTCTGAGCAATGAAACCCAGTTTTACATAGACCATGGCATTTTGCCTGATAAACTCCATCTCAAACTCTTACAGTGTGTTGACCACAAGTAAAGCAAATGTGTTAAGGGTGCTCACATATGATCTCTTTAGTCTTTTTTTCTCTGAGGACCTTAAAAGTCCTTAGAGAAATGGATAAAAAACAGTAGCTTCAGAAAAAAGCTCAGTTCAAGATCCTTTTGTGCAACACCTAGACCAAACTCCTCTGTTTCTGCTTTCAGAATTGGGAGGGCAGACTAGGAATGGGGCTTGGTGGTAGAGTGCTTACCTGGCATGCATGGGGCCCTAGTTCAATCCCCAGCACCACAAAGAAGGGGGAAAAAAATCAAAAAAGTCATAGGAATGGATAAGTAGACTGGTTCCCCCATCTTCCCTCATCTGGGTGTCTTTGCAGGGCTCAGTAGCATGATGCTCCAGATGTCCTGGTCAAGGGGCTGTGAGTCATGGTCTTCCAGGTCATCCTGGTACAGACAGTGCAGAGAGGCAGCACAGTTGACAACACTCCCTGTGAATTCAGTGGAAAGAAAACCTTGGGCTGGGCTGAGAGGTTTGGAAAACCAGTCATTTGAGGAGAATCTTGGAAAGTTGGAGTAGGAAGGGGCCTTGGAGACCCTTGAGGTAAGCTTTCTTGTGTGTCCGTCCAAACTTTTTATTAAAAAGTATGTTATGGGGCTGGGGATGTGGCTCAAGTGGTAGTGCACTCGCCTGGCATGTGTGCGGCCCGGGTTCGATCCTCAGCACCACATACAAACAAAGATGTTATGTCCGCCAATAACTAAAAAATAAATATTAAAATTCTCTCTCTCTCTCTCTCTCTATCTATCTATCTCTATCTCTCCCCTCTCTCTTTAAAAAAAAGAAAAGTATGTTAAACAGGTGATCATGAAACTGCTCTGGTTAAAGGAAATGAGGGTTCCCCAAAGATGGGTCCTTTGTGCCCCTGTTCCTCCTCCCATGCCTCCCCTCTCCTTTACACCCCTGGCAGCTCGTGTTGAAAAACACTGATCATATCGAACTCTTCATCTGAAAGGTGAGGATAATATTACCCAGAGGAGGGCTGTGCCTGCTCCAGGTCACACTCTACTGGGAGAGGTAGAAGCCCTCCATCCAGTCAGGCTCCTTCCACCACACCCTTCAAGCAGTCTCTCAAGCTTCTTAGAATTGAGCCAACATAGGCGGATTATATTTAATTTTTCTCTTTCTCCATTTTTTTCTTCATCCTGTATTCTAGATTTTAAGAAAGATAATTCTGAGTGTTTCTGTATCAAGGCATGAGATCATCATTATGCTGTGTTACAACTTTTTATTTCACTGAGCTACATGTGAGAATTAGAATTAATTTTCAAGTGCTCTGATGATGGAGGAGGGATGCACACTAATTCAATGTGAGAGAGGCAGGAGATCCATGTTAGAAGGGAAAGGGCAGGTACTACCCCACTGTGCCTGCTGGAGAGCTCTCTCTTAAACCTCACTCATTTAGATAATAATTTGGTTTGTCAAGCTGCACTTTTAAAATGCCAACATCTTCCCTTCAGGTAAAACCATTGATCACTTTCACCACAAAGTGAATATTAATAACATCTCTTAAGCACTTTCTACCCAGCTGATGCTATGCTAAGTGCTTCATGTGTATTATCTTATGTGATCCACCAAGTAATGGTAGGAGGTAAATACCACTACTACAGTATTTCATTTACAAAAAGGCAAATGGAAGTTTAAAGAGGTTGGTATTACAATGCCCAAAGGCACAAAGCTGCTAAATGGAAGAGTCAAGATTTGAGTCCATGTGCTTATTGGCCATCCTCTCCTACAATGGACTGTCTTGTACAAACCTCTACTCAGTGAGAGAATGGGTATTTTATTGGGTGGGTGAAAGAAGAAGTAATTAGTGACAACTGACTTTCTTGTCCATTTTACAACCTAGTTTAAGTTGCCTCAGTATAGATTTTGATTAGAGATTTCCAGGGATAAATAAAATATAAAAGAAAAAGACTCATCTAAATATAGCCAAATGACAAAACCAAAGACTGCACTCAAATGTGTAAAATTTGCTTTCAAACACATAAAGGAGAATATGATTTCTGTGGGAGCTTTATGATATCAGCTCTCAATTTCTATTGCCTTTTAATTCTTAAAATTAGTCTTATAAAGAGAAGGGACTATTAAGAATATTTTAGTAATATGAAGGTAATTACTGATTATGTGATTAAAAGATAAACTAGATATTTGAAGTAATAGATAACTTTACAAAGTCCATTTAAAAAATGGCATAGTCTGTATATTATTTGAATTCATTTCTAAGAAACAAAATATTGAATTCAAACTGGTTTAAACAACACAGATATTAATTAGGCCTTAGACAATTCTGAAGGAGATTAAGCTTTATGTTTGATTTCATGATGAAAATATCATCAAAGGGCAAGATCTCCTTTAAATTTTTTTTTTTAGTTGTAGATAGACACAATACCTTTATTTATTTATTTTTATGTGGTGTTGAGGATCGAACTCAGTGCCTCACATGTGCTAGGCAAGCACTCTACCACTGAGCTACCACTGCAGCCCGAGAGTGAGGTTTGCTTAGTCTCTTCTTTCTGCCGTCTTAAACTTAAGCTTCACTTTCAAGTTGGTTTCCTTGTGATTACAAAATGGCTGCTGGCTGCACCTATACACAAGCCTTATTCACTTACAGTGGGGAAAAGAAAGCCCCAGCTTTCAATAACTATTTTTTTTTTGGATACTGGGGATTGAACTCAGAGGTATTTAGCCACTGTCCCGCACCCCCAGCCTTTTTATTGTTTATTTTGAGACAGAGTCTCACTTAGTTGCTGAGGCTGGCTTCGAACCTGTGATCCTCCTGCCTCAGCCCTCCCCCCCCGCCCATCCCCCCGCCCCCCAAGCTGCTACAACTCTCTCTTAAGAATTAAGAAGAAGGGGCTGGTGTTGTGGTTCAGTGCTCACCTAGCACGTGTGAGGTCCAGGGTTCAATCCTCAGTACCACATAAAAATAAATAAAGGTGTATATATAAAAGAACCAAGAAGATTCTTGGAATCTTTCTTCCTGTCTCCTGGGTCAGAATCAAGGTTTACATAACCATTTCTTTTCCAGGCTCTGGAAAAGAAGTTGCTATTACCCATAGTTAGCCAAACCCCTCTCTTTAACTGAGGCTGTTCCCTCAGACACCATTGCTTTTTCTCAGGAAGAGAGACGTGCAATATATTTTACAGAAGCAACCACAATGCCCAGTGTAGAATTTGCCTGTACCAGATGGGTACCATGATTCATTGACACATTCAAGAGCTGTGTATTAAATATCTGCCATCTGCTCAGAACCAAGAGACTCCAAAGAAAAGTTACACATGAATCCATTTTTCCATTAGGTGACAAAAATAACAAATTGTGGCTCCTACCCCTCTGCCTTTTCCTCCCCACACTGGTGTGTGAGCACTTAACAAAAACCCTAGCATAGTCAGAGAAAGGGCTAAAGATGGAAACTGAGCTCAAATTGATGGCTCCAAAGCAAGGAGATTGGCCAAATGCAGTTGACTGATTATTTTATTAGACACTTTAAAACAACAACAACAAAAACACAACCCCTTTCTTTTCCTTAGACCAACTTCACTTTTCAAGTGATAGATGACATTCATTTGACCTTTATCTCCTGAGAGCACTGAGTGTCCATCCACATGACCTACAAATCATCAGGTTGACAGCTAGTAACTTTCATCATGAGCTTACTAGATCATATACTTACGGAGGGGTAGTTAAGCGTTTAAAAATCCTTACATGCAAGGCTTAGAGTGCCGTGATTGGCAAAATAATTTTCATTTGTAAGTGTGAAATACCTTCAGATGCATTTCCCTTGCAAGTGATTGAGGTATGGGAGCTGGGAACAAGTTATAAATTGTCTTATTCTGTGATTTAGCAAGATTGGAAGTAGGTCAAATAAACAATTTTAACCCTCTCCTTTTTCTTTTTTAACAACCCAGCTGACTGCACCTGCCTCTTTATTAACTGCAGAAGAGTGAAAAACCTAGCAACATGAAATTAAATCTTTTTCTGCTTTGGCATCAGTATGCCCATGGAGAGTGCTGAAGACATGTGAAAGATTTAATGCTCAGGGAGAGCAGGAGATTATTTGCTTCTGCCCCAGCAACAGACTATTCTAAGAGCTCTGATTGCTTAAGAGAGGCAGGGCACAGGTATGTCCTCCCATTCTGTCTCTTACCAAGACTTTTAATTCTTATTGGTGTATTTATTTGTTGAGGAGATTATAGCAGAGTTTAGAGTTGTGATCTTTCTGTTTGTTCTTCAGGGTGGCTCCCAGGTTGATTGTTTAGAATATGCATGTTTATAAAGAAACAATAATCTACATTTTTTGCTTTTGACATCATTTAATTATTCATGTATAAGTCCAGTAAACATCCTCTTCTGCTAATTCCAGCAACTGTTTTGATGGTGAAGTGAGTGGAGAGAGGTGGGCAGGGGAAGGACACGGGAGTCAGTGAGCTGAGGGTTATTTTGCTGCACCAAGATGGCACAGGGCTGTGACTTGCCATGGTCCCCAACTCTTCAGCATGTGATTTTTCTCCTTCAAATCTCTTTATTACTTTCATTTTTTGTGAGATTAGATACTACCACCCCCAGACTATTCTACACTGCCACATGTATTTTACCATGTAAATCTTAATACCAGTGTTTACATACACCTGTGTCAGTATCTTACATGCATAGAGATTGAGACCCTCTTCTTTGGAACCTAAATGATACTCTGAAGAGTGAGATTAGTTGCCATTTGGGAGAGCAAAACATGAGGCTCTGTGGTTGAGATTACTTCCAACATGTCTATGTGACAGATTATTTTTTAAATATCAAGAACTAGATGTTGTGGTCAATTGTAGACATGTTTTCCCTCAACCCAGTAAATAGGATACCATTTCCCCATTGTTTGTAGTAGAAATATAGAAGCAACCCTTAATGCTTCCCTTTTTGTAACTCCTCACATCTAATTCATCCTGAAACCCTGCAGTCCTCCCTACAATATACACATAGAAAATGCCAATTTCATTTCTGTCTGGCCAACATCCTAGCCCAAGGCACCATCATATCTAATTCTCAAAAAATTTTTCTGTTTTGTCTCATATCTTTGTGCCTCCATAATCCATTCTTCACCTTGCAGCCAGAATTTTCTTTTAAAAATATGAATCAAATTTTGTCAATCCCCTTCATAAAACTTTCTTTGGTTTCCAAGTACTCTGAATAAGATGCAAATTCCTCACTATGATCTTCTAAGCCTTGCTTGATTTAGCTTCTGCTAACTTTTCTAAATTCTCTTTCGTCCCCCAATCACTATGCCCAGACTTGTTTTTGTCTATGCCTGGAAAGTTTCTCCCTCAGTCCTTCATGAGATCTTAGCTTAAATGTCAGTTGCCTTAGAGGCATTCCCTGATTATCCTTCTTAAAGTGGTGTGGTAGCTACCATGGACTGGCTAGTTTAACATCCATTCAAAACTACCTTTTCCTATGCCAAGAATGCAAAGCTAAAACCCACATTTCCCAGATTCTGTTGGAAATTGGATTCTAGACATGAATCTGTTTCCATCAATAAAATGTAAGGCATCCATTTTGTGGTTCACAGGGTTTCGTTTGGATGGGACGGAGCTTCATTGTGCTGGCTTGGATCCTGGCAGAAGTGGTAGGATTCCACAGCAAGTAGTTGTAGCTGTGGCTGGAACTTGTAGGAGGAAGAGGCAGCTTCCCGATTGATTTGGACTTCTGCAACAGAACCAACAGCTATTGTGATTGTACTGGGGGCTGAAATCCTTCTGTAGTAGGCAGGGGTGTGGCACCTTCCCCAATACAACAGCTTCTCAAACCAAATTGTGCACAGGTCAGACTGGAGCCTACTCTTCCACCCTTTTAACAATTACTTTGTCATTGAGCTCTGTATTTGTTATCTCTTGGTATCCCCGGAAGATAGTTCTAGGACACCAGGTGGATATAAATCTATGGATGCTCAAGTCCCTTATATAAAAGAGCATGCTATTTGCGCACAACCCATGTGTTATATGTATACTTAAGTCATACTAGATTACTTATAACATCTGATGAAATGTAGATGCTATTTAAATAGTTGTTATACTATATTATTTAGGAAATAATGACAAAGAAAAAAGTCCGTACATGTTCCGTTCAGGTAATTTTTTTTTCCCCAAATGTTTTTGAATTCACAGACACAGAAACTGTGGATATGGAGGGCTGACCAGATAGAATTTCTTTCTTCTTAAATGAGATAGAGTGGATTCTGTTGTCTGCAATAAAGTCTGGTTTAATGTAAGTGATTTTCATAAGTTACTCTGTAGTTTATCCATTAATGTTTCCTTCACCCTATCATCATCTAAATTACATCTCTTCATTGCAAGATAAGCTTTGTGAGGGTGTAACCTTGTCTGTCTGGTTAACAGTTTTGTCCCCACCCAGCACCTAGAACAGTTCTTGAAACACAGAAAGTGTACCATAACCATATATTGAATGAATGAATGGGCCACGGGCATTTGCTGTGGTACTCCACTCGGTAACCCACACCCCAGGAGTCTCAGCAACAGTGGGGTTTGTTATGAAGCTATAGTCTTTCATTTGACTCACCCATTTGTGTCTGGTCCAGCTCCAATTTCATTCTTCTGACTCAGCAATGAAAATATGTACTTCCGATGATGATGACAGAGCAAGTCCTTGAATTCCCTAAAAGCTCTGCATCAGGAAGTTGCTACTAAATGGAGTGCCTTGCACCACTGATCAGCAGAACAATGCTCAGCTGAATTCTGCTATCAGTGGTATCAGGCAGCAGCTGGTCAGAGACTGGACAAGGGAGGGTCAGCCCAGATTGGTGATTGTGATTGTAGGCTTTTCTTGCTTGAAAGACTATTTTACGAACAATGGCAAGTCTAGGTACTCTCCTGATTGTCTGCCCAAGATGGTTCCATCTATTCTGGTTGCTTGGAAGTCTCTTCCCCATAACCCAGCAAGCTTTATTCCTGTACAAAATTGTTTCAAGTTCCAAGTACATCCTAGCTAATTTAACACTCTATTTGCCCTTTTGAAGGGTCTTACCTTCCTCTTTGCCTATAACCAAATGAAACAGAGGGTCTAGAAATCCATGGCATCCTTTGGTTTTTTTCAATAAGCTGAGAATTTGGGTTCTCACCATATAATGTTGAATAATAGATTGTTTTCCTAAAGAAATTCATGCCTTATTCAATTTTTCCCCCTAGTTCTGGGTACAGGGCCTGGTACATAATGGGTGCTCCATAAATGTTGGAAGAATGATTGAATGAGTGAAACATCTTAGTTTTGTGCCTTTTTATTTTTTCAAGCTGGCAAAAAGGTTAATATATGCTGAGAAGACTTAGTATACGAGAAAAAAAAATCCACATATGACTTTGATTCTATTCAAATGTGTTCCGGCAGTTAGGCAGGATTTCATTAACATTTCCTCCCCATCATGCCTGCTGAATATCACTGCAAGGTTTAGTTGACAAGTGCCATTCACAAGCCACATCCCCAGACCTAAGAGAGTATCCCTCCACACGAGGCTTCCTCTTCTTAGTCCTGACACAAATAAGACAGCAAATGTCAAGTGCTCTGTTTCAGAACTTATATGCACACTGACGTGCTTCTCAAGGTCAGGACAAGCACCCACTTTACTTTGCATTCATGTGCAAGAATACCAGTGACAGGTAACCTTCAAAGAGGGAGGCTGTCATTGGCAGGAAGGGTGAAGGCTGGGAATTGACTCTTCCTAAAAAAGTCACATCTGCAGGCTGGCAGGAGAGGAGGCTCATGTCAGGGCAGGAGAGTAACTGGCAGTAGAGGGCTGCTGGTTACTGATTAAGCTGGGCAAGCATTTTAAAGGCAAAAGAGCACTGCTCTCCAAGTTCAGATTAGACAGACTCTTCCAGGCTCTCACAGCCAGGAGGGGAGAGCGTGGGTGGGTGGAAGAGATAGAGGTGAAGAAAAGGACAGGGATTGGGTGCCTGCTGCAGGGGTTGCCAGGCCCTCAATCTGTCTTCAGCAGCTGCCAGAGACAGGTAATGTCTACCTCGAGGGCAGAAATTCCTGTCCCTGAGGTTGAGACACTTCAGGGTTTTGCCAGCTGTCTCAAAGGACAATGTGTAATTCTCAAATGTAAACCATGTCCAAGTCATTTTAATAATATGTATACTACAGTTACCTTCAAGTATCTTTTGTAGGCCAAATATTTTCACTCTCAAAATGTCTGGGAATAACTTCTGTGGTTGTTGCTGTTTTCATTTGTTTACTATCTAGCTAATCTGGAGTTACATTGCTTATAGGTCACAATTCAACTGAATCTTGACCATCTGGGGACAGAGGTATGTTTATCCCCATTTTATAGATAAAGCACACGAGGCTCCAGGAAGCTAAACAACTTATCCCACAACACAGAGCTGGAAATTGATAGAGCTAACTCCTGGAAATGCAAGCAATTTTTCTCCTTTCTGTGAGTCCCTAAATAATGGTTCTTTGCCGAATGCAGAAGATTTCTGTAAGATATTTGGCCCCGAGGACTGCTGTTTTCCATAATTGGGAACTAACTGTTCATTACTGTTCTTGTATCTTTCAAACAGTTTATTTTATTAACAATAGATCAAAGTAGGTTTTTATTTTTTTCTTTCTGTGAAGGTTCAATTGAATGAAGCAAAATGTGGTTTGGCCTTGGGATGGGCAGTAGCCACAAAAAGAGTGGGCTTATAAAACGTGGGTGGAGGAGATCCAAAAGCAGCAGGCTCATACCTCACACCCTCTTCCTCTTTTCCATGCCAACCTGCCCTGATAGGTAAAGTTCCTCAGAACAGAGCCACTCATTTTGATTAACATTCATAGGGTCCCTCCTAAAACATCTGTTTATTACCTGTGAGAACTAAATGTACTGATAAAAATAATATTCATGCTTCACCTATATACCTATATATCTATTTATTTCTCTCATTTGATTCACTTAACAAACTCTAAGAAACTCCTCCCCCTTGGCATGTATTAATTTATCAGAATAGATAGTACTGGGCAAAGTTTCTAGGGAATGGACCATAGAAGAGGTAAGCTTTGGTGATAAAAAGTTGTCAGAAAAGGCAGGAATATTCATTCCTGTTTCCTGGGGATGGATCCTGATGGAACTGAAAGCAGTAAGAAGTGAAGGTGTGGGCATCTCAGGAAGTAAGGGTAAGACCATGGGAAGTTGTGAAGTTAAAATGTGAGAAGTGTTTGGATGTAGGGAAGAATCTGTTGCCAACATTGCTTTTATAATTGAAAAAGAGTTTAAGTAAACTTTTATCATTAAATAATTATATTTGATCAGAGAAATAAACCATATCTCTTAACAGTTTTGGCTGGGAAATTCTAGAAGGAGCAAGAAGGAGACATTGGGAGAGAGGATGAGAAATGGCAAGGTTATGCTGAGGTTGGTGACACATTTCTCATGACACAGTCCACATAGGGCCCTCTATGTCACCAGTTTTTCCTCACATGCTTTCTCTGTAGGAGATCAGAGAACCACAATGAACTCGGGGAGTACACACAGAGGCTCAGTCCACACTTACCCTCTAGGAGAGGGATATGGAGAAATCCCAAGGCATCTGCCCGCTCTACTCCTGCCAACCCAGAGAACTACCTGTTCCCTGCGTCTGTCCCCTGCTCCTGCTCCTGCCCTGCTCCTGAGACCCTCAACCTCATAGTTCTTTGAGAGTTTATCATTCTCTTAGAATGGCACCTTGAGGTCAGAGTATGAAAGACATTGTCCTAAAATCAGTCACATCTTCCCTGCACTGGTTTCTCCTCTTCTGGGAAGCAGTATGGGCCCTGGGCCGATTTGTAAATTCAACCAAATCTGGTTTTCATTTCTTTTGTTCGTTTCCCTCCATTTCAAAGCCAGCTGTGTCTAGTACTCTCATCCTCCCCGCCCCCCCGCCCCCCCATCACCTCCCTTTACTGTTGTTTCATAGATCCCTGTCCTGGCCAACCACATTCTTTAGAACATCCTCTCCTTCCTTGTTACTCTACATATCCACACTTGCCTGTTCTGGGTCTACTTGTTTCAGGACCTATTTACTTTGTGGGTGATACGAGATTGTATAGATAAAGGGGAATGTGTTGCTCTATTAGCTAACTAACTGTTACTTCTGTTAAGTAACACCTTAAAACACTTCAACATAGTGTTTGTATCAGAAAGACTCCCAAGGAGCAGCCCTCATGGAAAACTCAGCAACTATTGCAGACCAAAAGGGAAGATATTTCTGTCACTACTCACCTTACAACCCACTCAGCTGCCCCTCATTGCCCGAATGGGACAAGCCCTGGGGTGGAAGTTTCAAAGTCTAGACATGCACTTCATTTTTGACTCCAAAAAGATCTTGGCAACTAGTTGTAAATCTCTATAGAACCTTGAGGATGTTTCTCTGCAAAGTAAGTGCTAACAGTGAGAGGGCAAGACTCCATTATTTAGGTGCTGACTTGGGTCGCTACCCAACTCTAGGCTACTAGATTATTGTGAGTACTTTGTAAACACAGAGTGTTGAGAAAGGCTTAACAAAAGATTTGGATGAAATTTCTCTAGAAGCTGGATGAGGTATTGAGATGGAATATTTGGCAGAGTCCAGTGCTGAAGAGTAGATTTGTTGCAATGCATTTGGCAAAAAACAAAAACAAAACAACAACAACAACAACAACAACAACAAAAAACGCTAAATGCAGTATTCATGATTCATGGCCATTAGACACTTTATTCCCTAAAACAACACAAAACCAAGTCTGTCAAGTTTGAAAGATAATTGCTACCAACCATTGTCTAATTTTGTGATGCTATCTTACTATCTTAAGCATCACAGAGCTGTTTTGTATTATGAAGATTTTCAGGCTGGTAGAGGAGGAGGGTGGAGCACAATCCAAGAGTTTGACCTCCCCCTTTCCTACAGTTGGCTGTGTGGAACATGCGAGCTTCTAGATGTCAATCTAAATAAATCTAGGTTCCAGAAGTCACCTAGAATTGGATTTGGTAATATTGGCAGGGAGGACTGTATCCTGGCTCAATGATACTAAATTTGTCATGAGGGCATTTTCGCTTTTCTCAGAGCTTGGAGTATGAGCTCTTCACCTTTCATGACCACTTACTTTGGTTTCTATGGAAATGTACCTTTAGAGGTTCCAGAACCATCATCCACACATCACAGCTAGTTTTAGAGAAAATCAACCCCATTTTAGGCAATGGGGTTACAAAGCCTTGACCAGGACAGTTTTTAGGATTGGGACCGAGACAGCATTTTTGTCAGCTTTCTCATTGCTGTGACCAAAAGACTTGACAAGAACGTTTGGAGAAAGAAAATTTTATTTGGTGGTCAAGATTTCAGAGGTCTCAGATCATAAATAGCTAGTCCCATCCCTCGAGGCTTCCAGTGATGCTGAACATCGTGGTAGAAGGGTGTGGTGGAGGAAAGCAGCTCAAGACATCTTTCACTCCAGGAAGCAGAGAGGGAGAGACTAAGTTCAGATCACCAAATATATGCCCCAAAGGCATGACTCAAATGATGTCCCTCCTCCAGCCACACCCTCCCAGCCTACAGTTACCACTCAGTTAATCCCTATTAGGGGATAAATTGACTGATTGGGTTAAGGCTCTCATAACCTAACAATTTCATCTCTAAGCCTTCTTGCATTGTCTTTCATATGAGCTTTTGGGGGATACCTAGTATCTAAACTGTAACAGAGAAAACCCTTAAAATCTGAAGAAATATAGCCTGTGTTTTGCTTGGTCTAAAATGAGCAATATTCACTTCATTTTAGGTTTTTAT